TAAATGTCTTTTGCACCATGTTCTTTCTCCCACACTGTTTACATTCGATCACTGCTGCACTTTATCAAATGGAAATATTAATTTCACTGCTAAGCTGCTGCTTATTTACATTCTGAAAGCAGTACAAAATGAAATTTTGTTTAGTTTACACTGTATACAAAACAATAAAAGTTGTCCACACTGCAGTCTAAAGTGACCCATATCCAATTATTTGGCCCATATACACCCTGTATCTGATCTTTTTATGGCTGTCTGAACAGCACAGATCCGATTTTCTCCTGTGCGATCCAGGCCACTTGGCTATGTGGTCCTGAATCTGAATACGAATCAGATCTTTTCAAATGCAACCTGTGTCTGAACGGTCAGGTTGCATTCATCCGACCCGACAAAGGTCACTATTCTGTTTCCTGCTATGAAGAAAGGGCAAGAAAAACAACAACCATTGCAGAAGATGATGCGGAGAGCAGTATTTATGTTTAACCATCTTGAAAAGATTGTGTTTTTATGTTTGGGAAATTTTGCTAGATGCACTCTGGCGCTACCATCCATATTTACTTCAAACACAGAGCATGCTGGCCTGTGATGTCATTGCGTCCTCTACTGCGCATGGGGGACACTTGCGTTGTATGACTTCAGTTCACACAGGATATCACATACAAGTCGCATATATTTGGAAATGTGAACCGCAACGTAACGGATTTCACAAAAAAAAATCGGAATTGAGCATCAAGACCTGCAGTGTGAACGTAGCCTAAGTCTAAGTCAACTCCTGAGCAGATGATTGCTCCCTCTTTATCAGGGAGTTTTCTACAGACATGAATGTGTTTTGCTCTTCACCTCATCTTCTCCTTGGCCTCCTCGAAGCTCTCCGAGACAAAATAAACCTCTTGGAAGGTGGTGATTAGGCACTCCTGGTTGCATGTCGTCTTTGGATCAAACATCTTCACACAGGCTTTATCAGACAAAGCATGCTGGGAAAAAAATATTCTGATCAACATTCAACAGAAACCTAAAAAGTTAGAATTCAGTGATGGGCGGGTTTTTAGTCATATATGTGCAGCAATCATCTGAACCAGAAAAAACAAGAAGAGACTCCAGAACAAAACCCTGAGGGACGCCATGTGACACAAAGTCAGATATTCAGCCACATTATGCTGTTACATGGAGCTATGGTTCTAGGGTGACCACCCGTCCCGCGTAGCGCGTGCGTGCACAGCGTTTGAAGCCCAATTCATTCGTCCCGCAAATTGAGACCGTGTCACACATAATCAATGCAAGAAATATGAAAAAGCTTATGGTCGTCAAGTTGTGCTTACTCTCATATGACAGCAGATGGCAGTGAAAGCCCAAATTCATGAGATTAAATGTTTGAAGTCAATTTTTAAACATCTTTCTACCACTTTTTTGTGATTTGAATCATCAGTGGCCGGTCTAAACATTTTCCAAGAATGCAGCCAGAACGCGCGGTGACGTAAAAAA